CTGCCTCCAAGTTCCTGCTTGAGTTCCTGTTTTAACGTCCCCTGATGATGGACTGTAAAGTGTAAGATGAAGGAAACCCTTTTTCTCTCCAAGGTGCTTCTGGTCAGCAAGAGAAACCAAATGGACATCTATGGATAAAAGAGACAACCACACTGATGGGTTTGATAGAACTATAGTTAAAAGGATTCTCTTCAACGAATGACATCATAGGCAGGATTCCTATGAGACAAATTGGAAAAATATTTAAACTAATTTAAATTAGCCAAGATTTAGCATCTAAAAAAGCATTTACAAATCCACAAGAAAACGTGAGAAGCACAATTTAGAAAGGATTAAAATTGGGCAATATCGAAAGTCAAATTCGAATTATCATGTGGACAAAGAAATAGTCAACCCTTAACTCTCATGAGATGGGCAAAAACCGGAGGTAAGCCAGCAATTAATGAGAAGGTGGATATGCTGCTGATATGTAGAGAGCAATCTGGGCATACTTAGTGGAAATAATATGATCTAGCAATCTATTCCAGGAATGAATATAAGAGGAACTTGAGCCCAGGTTCATAAAAGGACATGCACAAAGATGTTCATTGTAGGAGTAAGTTAGAGACAACTAGCTCTTCACTACTGGAATGAGAAAGTAAAATGTGGCACATGCATAGTGTAAGATACCATCCACTACTCAAAAGCAATAAGCTAGTATTATATAGTAGTGTTTCTCTGGATATATGTTAACAATTAAATTTAAAAATGAGAAATCAAAGCAGGGAGTGGAAGTACATACCTGCAGTTCTCGCACTTGGGAGACAGAGACAAGGAGAATCAGGTATTCAAGACCAGCCTCGGCTACATAGTGAATTGTAGACCAGCCAGGCTCCAGAGAATACTGTCTCAAAACAAACAATTTAAATATGAAAATCATAAGAGAAACCCACAGTAAATTTAAAACAGGTGCATGTACAAAACAGCACCATTTACATGTGAAGGAATCACTCAGACCCAAAAGTTCCTCTGAACTTAGAGCATAAATGTAGTAAAGTGATGTCTATGGGGGGTGTGGGGGACTGGTAGACAGAGCTTTACCCAGGACTGCCTCTACTGCATGGTAACTTCCTTGTTCTGGTTTGAATGAGCAATACCCCTATAGACTCAGTTACTTGGTCCCCAGTTGGTGGCATGTTTGGTGAAGGTCCTGGAATCTTTAAGAGGTGTAGCCTCACTGGAGGAAGCATGCCACTAGCGGCAGGCATTGAGAGTTCATATCCTCCTGTCACTTTCAATTACTCTCTGTGCTTCGTCTGCATGCTTGAAGATGTGAGTGTCCCACTTCCTGCTCCAGAGCCTTGCCTGCCTGCTGTCATGCCTCCTCCAAATGATGGACCCTCTGTCTGGGACCATAAGCCCAAATAAACTCTTTGTTCTATAAGTTTCCTTGGTCATGGTGTTTTATTATAGTAGCAAAAAAGTAACTAATGCATTCTATTGCATGTTAACTTTCTAGAGATCAGATAGAGTTTGAAGCTTTCTGTTATGTGTAGAGTACATATATGCAAATATCTCAATAAGCATTTTAAGAGTTTTGCAGTTGCGATTGAAAATCTATTTGTTGTGGGAAGTGATGAATAGGTGTGATCATAACATAAGGTTAAAATGTATTGTTTTGCAACTGGAAAGTAATTGTAAGAGTAGAGGAGAATAGAAGTTCCTTTTATAATTGATAATAGAAATGCATGAATCCCTCGTGCTGAAGTAGTTGTCAATCAGCAGGAGATGAAGTTTGCTTATGGCTCTCTGTTTCAAAGCTCCCTTACTTGAGATTTTCTTGTCTAAGACATCTTTCCCGCAACAAATCTCCATCTCTGACAGTTTATCTCTCATTCCTTTCTGATTATCCCAGGCCATGATGAACACTTAGGATTCTTTTCCTTGAACACTTTATGAATTTTGCTTTTTACTTCAATCTGAAAAACTAAACTAGTAATATCCAACTCAAAATTTGCTTCTTTGGTATATAACAGTCCCATTTCCTCACTTACAAGTAAATGTTTCTTTGGTTTTGATAAAAAGGATATATCAGTTGGTTATGATTGTCTAATGTAAGTGTTTTGTTTTGTCTTTGCACATCAAGTTGTGGCAGGTCTTTCCCGGTGTGGCCATGGAGGAGAAAGATGCCCTATATAATGGAGCTAACTAGACTGAGCAGTGTTTTCTTACTGAACTTTAGATCTCATTCAGCTGCATTGTGCAAATGATCTGAAAGAGAGCTAAAGGCTGGCTTTTGAAAGGAAACTTGAACCTTATGTGAGATCCAACAAAAAGCTGTGACTTTCAAACACAAAGCTATGCGTCCTTGCCTTATCCCTTTGGAAGGTGAAGAAAAGAAGTAGAACCGCTCTAGTAAATGGTAATTGAATGGAATATAACATTAAGTAGAAAAAAAAAATCACGAACTTGAAGTACTAAGACAAGGTACTATATCTGTTTCAGCTGCTTCCTATTTGAAGGTTTGGAGCAGGTTAGAAAAACACACATGTAACTTTGTTTTCCTTTTTCTATAAGAAGACAAGAAGACCTTATTATCAACTAATTATATCACTTGGCACCTAACAGCTTAGGAATATAAAATCAGTTTCATTCATTTTTAGTACCTGCCTAGTGGTAAAATGGGCCTGAAGCCTAGAAGATAATAAGTATTTGCTGAATGAATATATCAGAAAAATGGAATGGACTGTAAGATGTTATATCAGAGATGTGTGCCAAGAAGAAAGATTCACAGTCCAGGAATTTCTGAGGCATGGGGAGAAATGTGTGGAATCAAATAGGAAGATGTCTTCTTTATGTTCAAGGCAGTGTTGGTGGAAAACTGGAGTAGGCAAGATAGCATAGAAGTGTTGGGAGCCCAGAACAGGAAAGAAGACCAGTCAGTACACATGTTTTTATTACCAAGATCCACTGTAGAAATGCCTACCCAATGTATGTTCACATGCCTGAATATTCGAGGTTACATTTAAGGCAGCTAGGAGACAAGGCATGGCAATGAGGTATATAAAGATATCATGGTAGGCTTTAGAGTTAGATCCAGCAGAGTTTAATTTCAAGCTCTGCCACTTATTTTGTTCATGATACTGACAAAACATGAATCTCTCTGAGCCATCTAGAAAGTGAAGATTTTAATTTGAAAAATGAAGACTGTGGAATATACTTTGTAGACCTGGTTTGCAGATCTATTAAGTAGATAAATAAAAGAGATGTAAGACAATGCCCAAGGGAGTGGGCATGGATTTGATCAAAACACCTTATATGCATGTATGAAAGTCTCAATAAATTATTTAAAAAAGACATGTCTAACAGGATGTGCTCTTTTTCTTTATATGTGTATGTATGTGATGATATGTGTGTAAGTGGATGCACATGTGTATGTGTAAGTGTGGATGCACATGTGTATGTGTGCCACTACCTGCATGTGTGGATGTCAGAGGACAACTTGGTAGTCAGTGCTCTCTTCCCACTGAAGCTTTTGAAGATTAGACTCTGGTCACCAGGCTTGCTTTGAGCCGCTGAGCCAACTGGCCTGCACTACAATGTATTACTATTATTATCATCATTATCATCTTTCTTGCTATAATCATCATTGATGGTATTGTACATTTTATGTCTGATAGGTATGTATCCATCAGCTTAATATTTGTCAAGAACTTGTAAATACTTTATTTTTGTATTTTTTTTTCTTTCCATGGTGTTTTAAAAGCTATCCCCCACCCCCTCAAATCTGACTTTGTCTTAGAAGCACTTAGGAGAATGAAGGAACCATTGTGCAGTCAGTATAGGGTAGCTAGGGCACCTCTATGGCTGTTGTTCCTCAAGCCAGCTCTACCCAGAAACTCAGAAGAGCTGGAGTCAGAACAGAATGAAAGACTGGACAGTTCTCAGTTTTCTTTCCATGACTCTATACAGGAAACACACTAACCACATTCATATGTGCTTAGAGCACTTTCTCAATCAAAAACAAGACCTTCTGAGGTTTGTTTACTTCTTTAAACAAAACCTTCATGTTAGTGGAGAGCTGTAACAGTCTTGCTTCCTGAAGGTTAATGATGTGGAAAATGCATACAAAATTAGTCAAAATAATTTTTCAATTAAACAAATTGATGAAAAATAAGATCTGTTCTGCACAAAATAATACTGATAACTTAGCAGTAGTTACATTAGAATCAACAAACAATAGGGCTTATCATTACTAAATAGCCCTAGTTCAGGCGAAATGTGAAACAAAGCCATTACAATGGTTTGCGTTAGTTTTGAAGTTATCTTCATTCCGAGGTTTTGACTTGAGAGAAACAGGCCTCATTGTATCATTGGTAGCTTGACTTCCCAGTTGAAACTCCTCAACAAAGCACAGCTGGTGGTTATAAGGCCAGCAGACCAAGTGCAAGCATAGGGCGGGGGAAGTTTGGGACAGGACGAGGTTTCACTTCTAATTTCTGGCCCAACTTTACATGCTGAGGAAATTGCTTTCAAAAATATGATTTCTTTAGGAAATACAGTGTCTTAACTTACAGAGCTAAGTATGAAGAGCGAGTCTAGGGATATACAGTGGCAACGTTGCATGACTAAATAGTTGAAAACCTGGATTGGGGGAATGGGAAGGTGGAGGGGGCCCTGGAGGTGGGGTGGCGGTTGGGGGTGCATCAGAGACCTGTGTGGGAGCGAGGCTTCTTTAGATTGTTTCAAGAGTTGGCTCAGAGGGACTTGCAGAAAGACATCCTTGCACCGCCTAGCGATGGGGAGTCCCTGAGGTCCGGAAGTAGGAGAACAATGTTGGAGGAGGCTAAACTGGGCTGGAGTGGAAAAGGCGCTGTGGGTCACAGACCGCCTACGGGAGCAACGGGAGCATTGTGGCTTCCCGGGAGGGAGACTGGGAGAGCTTGGGGAGGAGGAGGGGGTGCGCGCGGCGGCCTCGCCCTCCGTAGCCCCGCCCCCTCCAGGAAGGGCCAATGGGAGGCCTGGATGTTAGCGGGTGGGAGGTGCGGCCGGGTTGCTACAGCAGGAGCTGGGCGGTGGCGGGTGCTGCTGGTGGAGCCCGAGGCGGCGCGCCATGGAGGGGCTGGAAGGTGAGGACTCCGGGGGTTACGGCTGGGCGGTTTGAGCGGGCCAGGGCGGTGTAGGCCAGGACACCCGGGGCGAGGGAGGCCGGGTGGGTCCGCGACGCCTGGGCTGGAGCTGGACGCCCCGCCGCGCCGAGCGGCGACCCCTCACCACCGGCAGTGCTGGGTCTTCGCGAACCCGCGGACCAGAGCCCCTTCGGCCTCTCGCCTGACCGGCCTAACCTACCAGTTTTTGACCCCTGAGTTGCCTTAGGAAATCAGTGTCTGGCCAGATTTCACTTTCCTTGCAAACTGGATTCTCTGTCACTGTTAATGTTCAGGACTCTGGGGCTCCGGGGTCTCTTGCTGGCCCCTTGGGACCGTCCCCCCCCCCCCCCCGCCAGGCTTTCCCTGGGTAGCCCTTCTTCCATTTCTACAGCATCTGCATGGGACGGATGCCAGAGCATCTCCTTAGGAAGTGTCTGACCCTGGCCACCTTTACGGCCAGGACAATAGCTTCATGGCTTAATGGTTTATTCACGAGGGCTGGTTAGGGAAGACATAGCTTTGGCTCCTTATTTATGCTGTAACCATGAATCCAGATTTTGCTTTGTTCCCAGAGCCTTCACTTTTTCTCTCCTCTTCATCCGTTTTATCCTGTGCAAGGACAACATTCGCTTAAAAACAAAGGAAGGAGAGAAAGAAAAAAATACTAGTTTTGGTAACAACAATTTCAAGATAATATCTATATCTATATCTATCTATCTATCTATCTATATATCCTTCAGGGGCATAAGTCTTCAAAATCGGTAGAACTTGATACTGCACTTTTTTCTCCTAAATAATATATCAATTTTCATGGATTTAGGTGAAATTAAGAGTGAGGCAGGGCATTGAACCCTTCATATTGCATGATAAAGAGTAAAATATTTCATATTGTTGTATGAAGTGAAAAGTGTAAATGAGTAATGCTTTTCAGCTCACCAGAATGCAAATGCAATAATATGATTATGAATTTATATCAGTTTTCCTTTGCAGTAAAGCTCTCATCGATTACCCTGAAGATGATAAAGAATTCGAATTGGCCATTTGTGGGTAGCTCTAGTATACTGTTGCCTGTGAAGGTGTTGTCTGTGTATTTTAATACTAGGGGTACCATTCACGTTGCCATGAAAATAAGAACCTGTAATGTCAGTCCTGCTTTTGGCTGACTCTTTACGAGACCCCTGGAGGCAGCCTGTTTTAATTATTTAAAGCTATGCATTGATATAGCAGAGAGGGTGGGATCATGGGTTCTAGAATTCTTTTGAGGTTGTAGTGCATGAAAAGTGCTTCAAAACACTAGATTTTTAGTCAATAGTGAAAGGTGAGATTTTTAACTAGTAATCCACTTGTTCTAAGCACTTTTCTCCTGAGGGTGTGGCAAAGAACTTAAGTAGCCAAAGCTCTCATTTTAATATTCCTTGTGTCTTAGCTCTGCTGACGTTGCTATTGCCAACTAACTCAGAATGTTTGGACATATAATGGAATACTATTATAATATTCATTTATGTGGGTGGAGAATGCATCAATTTAGATGCACTATGGAATGGGCGTATTTTACAAATCCGGTTTATGCTAAACAGTACTGGCCCTTTAAACATTTTGATTTTTTTTCCTAACAAAATAAAATGCTGTCATAACTGTGATGTGTTTAATTGCAATGAATTAGGTCAAAATTAAAGAAAAAAGTGTCTGTCAAAACAGCTGAATATTGGCACTTTCAAGTGATTCAATCCAATAAAGGCTCCAAGAGTTTTCTGTTGATTGGAAAACATGGGTTTTCTTGTTTCACTTCCCCCTGCCTTCTTAAAAAAAAAAAAAAAACGCAGTCCCTATTAAATCGCAATTTTGCAAAGATCAAAGCTTTGAATCTTAAGACTTATTCATATTGGAAGTTACAGTGCAGTATGTAGTATAAATCTTTTAAATTTGCTTAAAAAATTTACTGTTATCGAGCAGAAATCTGTGACATATGACTTATATTTCTGGTTGATTGGACTCTTGAAAAATTCTATTGGAGATAATTGTACTCATTGGTAAGTTTGTTTACATGTAAATCTTAGACCACTTACAATATATTTTTTTCTTTTTATCTTCTGGAGCTTCTCTGTCTCTTACATTGTCACAGAGTTGAGCTATTAAAACTGCCTACTTTATTGAGGCCAAATGTAAATTTTCTCATGATTTTGTATAATTGATAGCAGAACTTTTGCATGACCTGAGTAATTTGAGCAAAGATTTAATTCCTTTTCATGTAAAAGTTCTCTACAGATGTATCCAAGAAGAGTAGTGGTCTTTTACCACCTAAAAAACTAAGAGGTGATAAAATTCTAAGGAGGTTTTACTCCATACAGTATTGTCATTGCCTTCATGATATCCTAATGTGTGGTTCTAACATTTATGCCTGCATTAGGCTGACCATCCCTCTATGGACTACTGCAATTTTAAGTTCTTAATACTGCCTCTGGACTTAATTAGAAGTCCTCTTGCTCTTCTCTAATCTAGCCCTGATCTAGTTGAAGAGAGCCTTCAGACCTTATTAATGTTTCTGTTTTGTTTTAACTTAGCATAAATGTATACTGGTTTACTGAATAATCCATCATCTTTCTGTATTAGTGCTCATGTTGTTGGGACTCTTGTTTGGTGCTAAGTTGGAAGCCAGATACCTTGATAGCTGGCGTATTGAAGAGGCTTGTATTTTACTGTTTGCCTTATTTTGTTGTTGCATTTGTTTTACCTGTATGATTTAGGTGTATTATTCAATAAGAACCTCAGAGTTTTCCTGACTATTAAAAGAGCTATTGAACATTAAGCTACCTTAACTGTATTAAATATTAAACATACATAGATTACGTAGATAAGGTATTAACTAAGTGCCAACTACATTGAAATATATATTTACTCAGTGAATAAAGTCTTAGGGGCATCAAGATGCTTAAGGAAAAAAAATCTATATATTTTTTTGGTCTTTTTGGGACAGGGTCTCTCTGTAACCCCAGCAGGCCTGAAAAGCACTATGTACACCAGGCTGGCCTTGAACTCACTGAGCTCCTCTGCCTCCCAAGTGCTGGGATTAAAGGTGTGTGCCACCATGGCCCAGCAAGAATATTCTATTATAGCTAAAACATAAGCATGAGCATGTTCTTTCCTGAACTGCTTACTGAAGTCCAGATAACAATGGCTAGGATAGACTGGAAAAAAGAGGAGATTGTAAATAGAGACAGGATGGCAAAAGTAAGGAGAATTAAAAAAGGAGGATAGATTTAGAAAATATTCCCGAGATTGAAAAAATGAGATATGACTGCTTACTGAATGAAAGAATAAAAGATTCCCAAGTTAATGAGATTGGCTTTAGCACATGGGAGTTTCCGATGAGAAATTCTCATAGTTCCTTGGCAATTATTTACCTGGAGATTTTAGTAGTTAATCACCAGCAAATGGGAGCAACTACTTAGGCTATCACATTTAACAAAATAAAAGAAATAGTAAAATCTATCATTTTAGGGTTGAACATAATAGGAAATTAGAGTGGGTGAAATCTTTAAAAAAATCTAAAGTAGTTGTCAAGAAAACGATATGGGGAAGAAACTAGTATTTATGGAATAGTAAATGAGCTAAAAAAGCGGATACTGCTTGATAAATCTAGGAAATTCAAACCTTGCTTAGTTTGTGTGACTTGGAAAACTAGGTATTAGGAAGAAGAAATACAGAAGCCCAAAGAGGAAGAACATAAAGGTTAAAGAGATTTATGAGTGCCTCATACTGTGGAAAAACCTAGTAGGATGAGGGGGCTAAAGAAGGATTTAAATATTTAATTTTAATATTTAAACCCTGATGTGCTAAAGCCAAGCTCATTAACTTGGGAATCTTTTATTCTTCTTTCATGCAGTAAGCAGTCATATCTCATTTTTTCAATCTTGGGAATATTTTCTAAATCTATCCTCCTTTTTTAATTCTCCTTACTTTTGCCATCCTGTCTCTATTTACAATCTCCTCTTTTTTCCAGTCTATCCAAGCCATTGTTATCTGGACTTCAGTAAGCAGTTCAGGAAAGATAACATGCTCATGCTTAGGTTTTAGCTATAATAGAATATCTTTCTGGGTCATGGTGGCACACACCTTTAATCCCAGCACTTGGAAGGCAGAGGAGCTCAGTGAGTTCAAGGCCAGCCTGGTGTACACAGTGCATTCCAGGCCTGCTGGGGCTACAGGGAGACCCTGTCCCAAAAAGGCCAAAAAAAAAAAAAAAACAAAGTTTACTTTATTTAAGCACATTAGTAGAATGATGGTGACTACTTAGCTCCTATTATCTTTACTTGCCTGTTGCATTTATAAAATACAATGACCAAGGCAACTTATAGAAGGAAGAGTATATTGGGGCTTATGCTTCCAGAGGGGGAGTCCATAATGGCGGCGGGGTGGGGGTAGTGTGGCATGGTAGCAGGTCACTTGAGCAGGAAGCTGGGAGAACCCGTTTTTAATGGCAAATGCAAGACAGAACAAACTGGAAGTGAGAGGAACATCAAAGCCTGCCCCCAATGACATACTTCTCTAGCCAGACTGCCATCTCCCCAGACAGTGCCACCAACTGGGAACCAAATGTTAAATACTGAGCCTATGGGGAGATTTCTCATTTAAACCACCACACTTACATTTCTTAAAATCTGCTAGTTTTTCCCTGATCCTGTCCACTTCTAGCATAGACTAGTGTTTTGGACTGTAGTTGCCTAGGTAAATGAAAGCCAGAGATGAGAAGACTAACTATAATAAGAAAAAGTCAGAGTCACTCTAAGGTAAGAAATTAATTGATAGAAAACAGAAAGTTGGGGCTGGAGAGATGGCTCAGTGGTTAAGAGCACTGATTGTTCTTGCAGAGGACCCAGGTTCGATTCCCAGCACCCACATGGTAGCTACTATGAACCGTCCTTAACTCCAGTTCCAGGGGAATCTGAAGCCCTCTCTGACCTCCCGGCATTGCACGACAT